AACAAATTTTGCGTATTGAGTATTGTGCTTTGTTCTTACAATTTTCAATAAATGATTATGATTTATAAGTTGTACACTGAGACAAAACTGTACTAAATGAGAAAGGTGCACCATTATGAAAGTGGAATGAACTCAGTAGCGTGAAAAGGGTAGTTTGAGCATTATTATATGTGGCCTAAATAATGTTCCGGGGAGGGGGAAACCCCACAGGTGGCCTAAATAATGTTAGGTGGGGGGGTTGACCTTATTTAGGCCATATGTGGCCTAAATAAGCACTCTCTTTCATCTTTCTCCCTTGCTGGAATGGCTGGACAATGGGTGGGCTTGCTAAAAGGAACTTTGTTTATTACAGTGGAACTCGGATTCAACGAGAGGAAATAGATTCCCCGGGGTTTTTTTTCTTCTTTAAAATCAATAAAAATAACCCGTATTCAACGAGCACTTAAATCAGCAAGCTCGGATTCAACGAGGTCGATTCCATGGGGAACAGCCCCCACAGACGTGGCTTCGCTTATTTTTCTCCCAGAACGAACTTGATCTATTCCCGAAAACCACCCTTTGCACCTGCATCGTGAACTATTGTTCACTTAGCCGATTGAATGCGACCCCTCAGCGGCCTTTTTTCATACCAACACATGCGTTGTTGGCACACGCACTTGTCTACTCTGGCGTGTGTCGGGGTCGGGTGGGCGGCCTGCACACGTGTGACTGTGTCAGGGAGGGGGGGGGGGGGGCACCAGCGGTCCGGGCGTTGAACGTCGCAGATACAAACGCGCCGCAGTCTTTTTTTTTCCTCAGCAACTGATTATTATTATATACGCTAGTATTGACGTAGATCTACGAAATGAATTGAGCGTAGGTCTATGGAATCAAAAGTGGTCGTGTGCTAGTGCTAGGCTCTACACAGCAACACAACTTTTTGGCAAACAATCGAGATGACACAGGCGTGCATTTGAACGAATTGGTCTTTTTTTTTTTACACAGCTCATAATTATGCAGGCATTTCAGGCACTACTTGTTAATGTTACTTCTCTTTACACATTATGTGCTCAGTGCCTCTAATAATCTTCAAAAAACCTCGTGTTTGCTATAACGAACACTCGGATTAAAATTCAACGAGGTTTTAGATCAGCCCCGGCGACCTCGTTGAATCCGAGTTCCACTGTAGACTAGCCCAGGCTAAAAATAGTAGACTAGTCACGTGCTACGTAACAAAGTACATGCATGTCAGTACACTTTTATATCATACAACGCTCATGACATGATGGCACCAAATTCGGGTTTCATTCATGGTCGTTAAGTAGGCTACGGTAAAGTATTTCTGTCCCCGTCGGATTGTGCGGCCGCGTTTTTTCACATAATTCTGCAACATTTGCATAATTTTTCATTCTCCGCGTTTTTTCAAGTTTTTAAATAAAAATTTTCTCAAAACATTTTATTAACGCCTTACTATGTGACTAATAATTGTGACTAAAGGGAAGTTAGCTTGAAGTAATCAAAGTAATAAGTTAAATAAGTCTCATTCAAGTGACAAGTTGGTTATTTCCCTTGTTATGGATTTTTGTTCAATTTTTCCATCCATCAAAAGTTGTTCTCATGTCTGCTGTTTCATGTTTGACAGGTGTCCCTGGTTTTAGTGATGTGCCAGCATCAGATGTCCAGTGGTCTTTCTTTTTTTTAAAAAATAATTTGTAAAAATAATTTTTCTTTCCTTACTTTATGCAGCTGAAACTAACACTCTTACAGAGATTAAATTTTTGGGTTGGTTTTTTTTTCTGACTGATGTGTATCTTTCCAAATACACAAAAAACTACTGGTACTAATATGTTCTGTTTTCAATTCTTCTGTACAAAGATCTAAAACATGCAAATTCTTGTTGAAAAAGCGTGAAACATGTTGTAAATGGCGTTACGGTAACTTGCATAATTTTGGATTTGTCTTGCATAATTTGGCCATCTAAATTTGCATAATTCTGCGGAGGACAGGTATTTTTCAGGAAATTACCCCTTTATACTTGTCTTAAAAGTTTATTCCCATTGGAGTGTGACAAACATACAAAATAAGTGAGGAAAATGACGATAGTAAGGATTAGGAAAGAAAAAGCCACAGTTCCCTGTTGTAGTTCAGGCACAGTTATGAGCATGACATTGTTAGATCAGCCCATTTTTACAATTCTACTGTGCATTAGAACGAGAAATGTCCCTCCTTTGGGAATGGCTTGAAGACACTTCAGTCACTGAGTCAGTGGCACCGCCCCAGTAAAATACAAGTTAAACATGTGTTATAATAATTTAATGTTAAATGTATTCTATCTCATGGATGTAATTATTGTAACTCTCACGACTAAAACTAAAACGCCTATAAAATCTAGTACAGTATTATATTGTAGTTACCATGTGTTGAAATGCCATGTTTGCTCCATTGTGAAGTTAAAGACACTGAGATTCTTTATTGGCAGTCTTCTTTATCTTGCTTGACGGTGGGCAAGTCATTTGGCGTGAGAGGTATATCCATAAAATAATAATGCTGACACATAAGTAGTAGGCTACATGAAATATGTTTCAAATTTCGTTAAAGAGTGTTACAGTTTCCTGGATGGTATGGTTTTTTGAAAAACCACAAAAGAAGTTTGTGAAACTCCTGTATTTTCCTGTTGTTGTCTCATTTTGAAATTTGTATACACATGTATTGTTATTGTATGCCTCATGTCCCTCTCTCTGTTCTGAGGTTTTAGGAAAGGGTCAAGAAATAAACAATGAGTCAGAGTGAGTGACAAAATGTGTGTGTGCCAAAAGAAAGGTACCAAAAGTCAGATTTAAACATTTTGAATTAAGAGTTGTACCTAATAGGACATTCAATGCTGAACACGGGTGTTTTTGAATTTGTGAGATCTCAAGTAGTTTTTAAGATATCGCACGTTTTGCGAGGTAGGGTATAGTATAAAGATCTAATTTAGAGAAAATTAAATTTTAAGTTTATATACAAACTAAACCCCCCCACTGATTCAATTGTATAACATTAACAGTAACAGGGATTTTTTAAATCCCCTTATTTTTCCTACTCGTTGTCTCATTAAAAGTTATCGACAATAACAGAGCCTCATCGGAGCCTAATCGGTTATAGCAGGGACAAAGGCTCGTTAACAATGAGTAAAAAGTAAAAGAGAGAGAGAGAGAGTAACGCAGTAATGGAGAAAGCCCACGCAAGCAATGCCAATGAAAGCACACTCAGCGGGCGAAGCTAGATAGGACTAGCAACACGCACTCGTAATGTGTCATGCACAGGCCATGGGAAACTACCCATGAATAAATGCAGCAGGATTAGTTCACAAATGCCTACTTCCCTTGCATTTCTGATTTAACAGGGATCTGATGTTTTCTTTTCTCTGGTCCCACCATCCCTGTTATATCCGGTTTCCTCTTTACTCACGCAAATTTCATTTCCAATTTGGCATTCTATTGACATCAATACCATGATTAGAATTCAATGGTAAAACATAGCGGGAAGAGAAAACGTGCTTCCAGAATAGATTTTAATACCTTTTTACTTTTAAAAGCAGTTTTCATTATCTTTTTAAAACATACCCTACTCTCAAAATAGAATACTTAGAATTAGAAGTCAAGTGAATGAGAACTCTTTTAACACATTGTTAAAAAATGGTGAAACTGTCATTTTTTTTATTTTTAGAAATGGAAACACATTTTGGTCAAAAAGTGATTTTTTGTCATTATCACTTTTTATCAGCCTGCAGCTCAAAATGTTCTGTGGTGACTTTTGGTACCTTTGTTTAGGCACACACACAAATGCTTTATTCAGTGTTCCAATTGCACATTTATTGTGATTCTCTCAAGCTGAGAAAATTAATAGGAATTAAAAACATCCTCTTCCTAACAAAAATACATGTAGCAGTGAGAACAAAGACCCCCAGTTTTCTCTCTGAAACAAAAGAAGTTGATCGAAGTGATCTCTTGAATCATCATACTCATACCACTGTGGGGCACAGATAACATGAACACAGAAAACTTAAAATGACAGATAGCTTGTGTACTACTGTACTTGCCATTCCCTGACTGATGTGGTTTCTCTGTTCTCGATTAACTCGAATTATGAATGTCATGTGTCGATCACACTGTCAAACCCCAACATGTTTGAGTTACCCGTGCCCGACTCAGCCAACTGTATGATGACTCTTTTGTCCCACTGCCTCACAAGGGGAAAAAGATTGAAATCAATTTATCCAATCTAATGCCGCATAGATCACCCTGACAGTGACACAGAAAAAAAGAGCATTGATGAATTGACATTTCTTCCATTCCATGACCCCCCCCCCCCCCCTCTCTCTCTCTCTCTGTCTCTCACTCTCTCTCTGTCTCTCACTCTCTCTCTGTCTCAGAGATAAAATAGTTGTCACCATCATCGTCGTCACTGCCTTGCCTACGACACACACACACACACACACTGATGCAAAGCAGGATGCAAATCCTTCAACCCTTCAAACATTCCTCTCTTCAGATGTTTAGTATTACTAGCTTCAAACAGTGTTTGAGTCCAACCCTCCGCAAGTTTTCACATTTGTAACAAAAGCATGCCAGCATATGATATTAAATTGTCTGCCAGCTGTTCAGTTATATATTTACGTACAAAGCCCAAAATTTTGTAAATTTCTCTTGTTTTCTTGTAGTTTCTTTAATCTGTTGGATCTGTCACAATTACATGATATTACTACTAGTACTAGATCTAGGTCTACAGGCTCTAGAAATATTTTGTAAAAATTCAAATTCTAAATGTTGGGGGGTGGGGGCGCAAAGAAAAGATAATAATACCAGAGGTACGGTAGGCTAAAATATATAGAAAAGAATGAAATGAAAGGGGGGGGGGGGGGGGGTTGTTTTCGCTCCCAAAAAAATTTGCCTTTTGGGTTTAGAACAATTGAACAGCTTGCTAACAAGTGCACTGCTTCTCCCTCTTTGACAACTCACACCCCCTATAATTAGGCTTACTCTTTTTTTTTTCGATTCCATAAATTGTCATGTATCATTGTATGTTCTTATAACAAATGATAGCATTGTATAGTGCAAATTGTTGCTCAACAGCAAGCTCTGTGAGTGTTACGATCTAAACTATAAATTACCTCACTCTCTCTATCTCTCCCCTCTGCTTGGTTGTCCCATGCAATGCAGTCTCTTACTCTCTCTTTCCTTTTTTTTCATGAATAAGCAGTACAACTACAACTACAACAGCATGGGACAGCGTCACTATTATATAGTGCGGTCAAAATTTCATGGCGCAACTTATTGTCAATTTATCCTCAGCTATCAAACCATAGGTTCTCCTACTTTTCCACAATGAGTTGTATCAATTTGTCTTAACAGATCAACATTTTTGTAAACACCTGAGTGCTAGCTGTATTCTAGAAAATTCCTTAATAAATAGATCTACTAATACTAATAACAAATCAAAGTGAGTGGTTTGTACAGATTTAAAATGTTTACACCACAGCTGGGGCAATACTGTATTGCTTTTGAAAACAAGTGTGTCATGTTTTTCTAATCGGGAGAGTATGCTTTATTGAATGCATGTTTTGAGAACCTTTAGTGCAAAAAACGTGTTCACTATTAAATGTATTTCTTGTAGTACGTTTTGCCACTAAAAAGTATCATTTGTAAACTCTGACATCAACCGCGTAGTATGCGAAATGTGTGCGAGTGTGAGAAGCAGGAAGTGCTGAGAACAATCCCATTTTATTTGTGACCAAGATATCTAGTAGTTTGTATAAATTTATGAAGGAAAGCTTTTTAATCTATCCTCAATTGTTGTGGAAAAGTATGATTAAGTTAAGACAAAAATACAAAAAATTCACAAAGTGCTGTGCAAAGTTTGGGTGACTGATTCACCCTTAAAGAGATATTTGAGGATAGGTTGGGTCACGAATTTTTGACAGCACTGTAGTGTCAGTGTTCATGTGCATGTGTAAGTGTGTTCATGTATCTGCTTTAAATTAGAAAGAATCATTGTGTAAAATAATTTTCTCACTGATTTAACCAAAATAAATAGATTGCCACTTTAACATTTTCAGCATTTTATGACAAACATGTGAAAGGAATGTTAATGCTACAATACTACTCACTACAGTACTGATCGAAACGACAAGATTTGGCCCCGAACTGACCGTAGCTCAGTCCTCTGGGCCTCACACATTGTCCTTAGCTCAGTTCTCTGGGCCTTGTACGTCCCTTAGCTCAGACCCTAGACCTCATCCTGCCCTCAGCTCAGTCCCCTAGGCCCCCTGGCTTTATTAAAATGTATAGTAATACTGTCCTTTGCTCACTCCCCTGAGAAGCACCTTGACCGGCCTAGGTAATCATTAATTGTAATATTGTTCTAAGCTCACTCTCCTGGACCTTACACTGTCCTTAGCTCAGTCCCCTAAGCCTTACACTCTCTTTAGCTCAGTCCCCTAAGCCTTACACTCTCTTTAGCTCAGTCCCCGAGCCTCATTCCGTCAAAAGCTCAGTCCCCCAAGCCTCGTTCTGTCATTAGCTCAGTCCCCCGAGCCTCGTTCCGCCATTAGCTCTGGGCCTAAATCAGAGACTGTGTCTAACACCGTCACTTGTTCAGTCCCCAGCTGTGACGTCTCGGTTGTCTCCGCACCAATCCCCGACACAATCACGGTATCTGCCGTACCGATATCAATCTGTTGGTCCTGCCATAAAGGTTCTTGCACGGCCACATCGAGCTCACTCTGAGTCGAAGCTGTGACCCGACCCTCTCCAGCTGCGATGATCAAGTCCTTTATTCTCTGTAAACTGCTCTCTCCCTGGACAGAGTCAAATGTCAGTTGCTGTTCCCGCACTAAATCCACGATGGAGCGTTCAGCCACTATGATGACAGACTCACCCGTACTGGCATCAAAGATCTGCAGAGTCTCTGTCTGCTCATCCCCTTCCTGAAGACAAAACAGTATATAAGTGTATATAAGCCATAACATTTGGTCCACAGTTTTTCTTATACAGTGGAGTCCATTTATAATACTTATATAACGAGTCCTGAAATAACGAGAAGTCTGTTATAAAGACACTATTCTAAAACCCTGTATTTTCCCCTTTCTTTATCTTTGTAAATAAAATACTGCTATTGTGCAATTAGACAGTCACGTGAGTTGGTTATAACGGAATATTGTTGGTGCTGTGCACAGCGCACAGACCAATTAAACATATAAAACCTCCCCAGTTGAGAAAGTTGTTGGTGATCCAGCGAAACAAAGAATGGGAGAGACCAGGCGAACCAACAATGAAGGCCGGAGCGAATGAGTGGGGAGGGTGTGGTATGCGCAGACAAGCAGAACGCATCGCGTGATAGGCCAGCCCAGTCTCGATTATCTAAGCCTACCACCATGCCTCTCACTTCTCTGGTGCAGGGAGGAGAGGTCACAATGTTGTGATAGATAGAGTGAATGTGTGACATGCGCAGGCAGACGCAACGCACCACAGGGTGTTGTGGGGTGGAGGACAGCACAGCGGGCGAGTTAGCCTAGAGCCAGAGCCCCTTCTTTCTGATCGCCAACGCCGAGTTGTCAACATTGCTAGTGCTAGAGAAAGAAACCTGATTCGATTTTTGATCAAGTAAGACCTAGAGATCATGTTGAACAAAATCATCATCAGAGGAAATACAAAAAGGAATAAACAGAACATCAAACACATAGATTAGGCCTATTGTACTATTTCCCTTGAATTTATTACTGGATCCCTTATAACGAGAATCCAGCTGCTATAAATGGGCATTTTGCACCGGTCCCCTCCCTCTCGTTATAAGTTATTATAACAGGATTCCACTGTACTGTATTTTATTTCATGGCTTGAGTCAGAGTTCATTACTCTCCTGCTAGGGGCGCTCCATTTGCTCAGTGAGTAGCCTATCATGCTGGACTATATGACTGGATGGCCCTGGTTCAAATCCAAGACTGGGCATTCTTAAACTCATCATGAGAAACTAGTGAAGCGTGAGTAACGTGACGCCGAAACAACACATTATGGCAGCATGCAGGAGGGAGCAGGGGTGCCCAGTCTCCGACAGGCTGTCTTGGAAATTTGACTTTTGTGGAATGCCCCACAGCGTTTTGTAAACTTCAGCCTAAACAATTGCAGTGTCTAAAAATGTAAAAATGGATAGTCTATGACTTCTTTAAGTTTTCAAAAGCAGATATATTCAGTTCTGCCAAATCGACTTTGACATGAAGTAGGTACCACAAACTGAAATTTCAAAGTCCTCTGATTTCACTACCTTATAGAATTTATCATTCTGAGCATTTTGATACCAAATTTATACATATATAGCTTCATTTCTAACAAAGTTATGAACATCTGAAGTTGCAGAAAAATGTTATAGTTTTTTAATTGTGAAAAGTCTACACTTTGAGATGTCAAAACATTCTTAAATTATTTGAATGGACATTCACAGAAACTTGTAGACTAGGCAGTTCAGTGAACGAGATCGGCTCGCCGCGAAATATGCTCCTCGCCGCCCGTAGAAAACTGTGAGCGGTGGATTGCGTCGTCGATTTGGTGACCTCAGAAACTCGATTTTTGTTGTATTAAATAGAAATAACCACTACTTCTGATACATGTTTTTGAAGATTTTTAAATAATCTACAAATGGCGTCTTCCTTTGGCAGATCCGACCCGTAGAGCCAGAGATATTTTGATTTGAATTTAAGCCAAGTTTCAACGTTTGATAACTTTTTCCCCACTTGCCAGGCAGTTTTGTAACTTTTCTGGCAGTTAGAAATATTCTTTATCTTTAAAATAAGCCTAGAATGGCTGTATTTAGCCCTGTCTAACGGCGACTAGAGCCAGCGCACTTTATAGCGAAAGTTGTTTTTCTTATGCAGCATCGGCGTGCCGGGGCTGGGCAATGAGTCACTTTAGCAAAATCTGGATAGCATGTTAGTGCACCTCTTTGGCAAAGCCAAATGTTATGAACCGCTTCAGCAAATGGATCAGAACCATTTCGACAAATGGGTTAGCATCACTTCAACACTAATGTGTGCACCCACTTCGGCAAACGGGTCAGGAAAGAGAGTTAAGAGTCTGAATTCTGATGTTTCATTGAGAATTATCTGGTTATCCGGATATGGTATCCGGATTTTGCCCACCTTTAGTTTTAGGTCTTTGCCGCATCGCACTTTTCGCCTTCCTAGTATTCCTAGTCCTAGTTGTTGTTGTTTTTTTCTATTTAATATTTTCAATTTTTACTGAAAAGGAGATCATTGGAGCGTACCCATGGTATATCGGTTCACAAATATTAATATTATGTTTAAGTTTAACACTTGTTTTCTTTTGCCAAGGTCTGATCGGACAGTGATTTTGACTTTGAGAAGATTATTTTCATAATAGATTCTAGATTTTCTAGAGAAAATTTAGAAAATAATTTTGATTCCTTTGGTCCACAGTTGCACATATTATGTATCATGTATATTGTGCAGTTAGCTCTTACTAAAGCCATACATTCTTAGTTTAAGTCTCTGATTTTATACGCTAGCTTTTTCTCAAGTTTCGTTGGCCCAAGTCTCTGCATTATCATTTATAGTCTTCGGCACTCGTAGTTGATTTATCTTTAGAAAATTCTTTCCTTCTTTCCTCAAACTGTTCATCACTACTAGTTTTATGTTCACACAACTGTCTGGTCACAATGAAAATTACTTGGAATAGCATCTATGATCTATAGTAGGCCTCTTATGTGATTTTCAATCAAATATTTTTTTCGTGCTTGATTTTTACCTCAAATTGTACCTTTTCTCCTTTTCTAGTGCAGTTTGAAATTTTGTTATCCTCTTCTTATATTCTCTTTTAAAAATGTGTTGAATAAGACGGTCAAAATGATACATGGCACGTACACTTCGGACTATTCCTTGTTGAAATATCATCGCTTGTTTTCAAATTCATCCTTTTTCGGACACATGAAAAGTGACCCCGCTCTTAATCTACATACCATGTTAAAGAGATTTATGAGACAAAGTTCTTTCTGTTTCTTTCATATGAAAGTACACGTAATAACCTTTGATTTGATGCAAAAACAGGAAGATATCATTACAGGTTGCAAAGTTATGTACATTTTGGTCGATTTTTGTCCTCCTTTAGTCACAAAATGCAGTGCAAAAAAAGGACCAGATTTTGAGCGAAAAATAAAGTAGAAAAAATCCCATAACTTTTCAAGCAATACAGATATTGACGAAATTCAAAAAGTACTGTGATCTGTGTGGCAGGACCTTTCATTTGAGCCTATTTTCATCTAAATCTAACAACTTTGAATTTTTCACTGAACTGCCTATGTAGACACACACCTATGCACATAGACAACAAGCTCAATTTTTTTCAGGGCTATAAAATAACCAAAAGGAGGAAATTTATTGACGTAAACATTGCTTTTTGACCAAAACGGCAAGAAATACAAGGGGAGTTTAAAATCACCACTCCCGACCACCGGCTTATCGGCTGCGCGCCGGGCCGTGCTGAAGGGAAGGAGAGAAAATTTATACGAAACCGGGGCAATGGTGCCCTGCTTGCGAGCCGACGGGAGCATCCGGTGTTCATTTGCGTATAATGGCTGTGATATTCTTGAAGAGGAATGAATGGGCTTTCTGCCGATATATTTCCGCAGTCAGTCAGATCACTGGTTCCATAAAAAAACACCAAAAGTTTTCAAACGCAAATCTCTTCTATTAATTCTTTAAGGGCAGGCTTTAGAAATATATCACCGGAAAGAGCGTCTTCTCATCTTGAAATATCGATGAATCAGATTGCAGTATTTAATACCATATGTTCCCCGTTCCTGTTCAACCGAGGTCACTCAAAAAAATCAATGCACGAAACGCACGGCAGCTGCAGTGAAAACCTCAATAGTGTTGTCTTTTATCCCACAAGATTTTGCTTTCAAAGGAATCGTTGATTCAAATAAATAATACCACTAAAAAGAGGAAAAGCTCCTCTTTCTTCTGACATATCAAGTGTCTGGGTGTTGCATGATCACACAGTGTTTTAGGAGGGTAAAAATATGGGTTTTGGTCTCCGTGACAGTGCGCCACCGGAGCGCATGGCCAGTTTGCGGTACCTACATGAAGACCACCATTTGAAGATCTTTCTTTTCCCTAAGATAAAAAGATGTATCAGAAATCGTGGTGCAATTCAGAAAAACGAAACAAAACTGAGCAGTTTAAACCCACCAATACACGAAGCTTTATGAATGGTCACCAAAGTCTATGAGGCATATCGCCACTGATTTGCCCTATGACGAGTGCTTTCACTAACCAGCCTAATAAAAAGTTTCAAATGATTTCCATCCTTTTCCATCTAAATATCAAGACAGGTAACCTTAACACAGTGTTGAAAGAAGTGTAAAAAAGACAACAACCCTGCTTAAGTGTGGCAAAAACAAAGGAAAAAAATTCCTCACAACTCACATTTGCTAAGGCTTCGACGACTGCACTATCCACCATCTGTCCTTCCACTGCCTCTGCCCCAACCATCTGTCCATCCACCACTTGACCTGTGTTGACCATCTGTCCATCCACCACTTGACCCGTGGTGACAATCTGTCCATCCACCATTTGCTCTGTGCTGACCATCTGTCCATCCACCACTTGCCCTGTGCTGACCATCTGTCCATCCACCACTGCTCCTTCCACTCTCTGTCCATCAACGGTTGTGGCCAGTATGGCCTCTTCGGTGGAATGTCTGACACTAGAATCAGCTTCCTCTGTGATAACTTCAATGTTCTCTACCACATATTCTCCAGTCAATTCCTAATTATGCACAATGAAAGAGAGAGAGAGTGAGAATACTGATTAAAATTTTTTTTAAAAGTAAAGCCATAAACTATTGAAGCTGTAATGCAAGAGGCCCATAGGACTAGGAGACAATCGCAAAAATGGCTATAAAAAGCTTCAATACAAGAAATTCACACTTTATCTCAAATGTGAATTTACTGTATATTGATTATTTGAGTTTGAGGCTTTTTTATACAAACATATGGGAATTTATGGAAAGCCAACATATTAGTTATTACATTCCTCATTACATTCAGCCAAACCTAATAACCCATTTCAACCTTTATCACAAACTCGTGTGACAAATATACAAGATTTCAGAACACCCAGAGCAATTGACTAACTAAATTCCAACAGCAGAAATGATCATGCAGGTGTGAATGTAGGCATTTTTTTATGTCCCCACCAACACAATTTAGATAATTTCCCTTAACAAGCGGGCTTCTGACCCTGCCTGCAGGGCCAACCTGGGCTGAAAGGGATACAACATCCCAGTAGAAAGACAGAGATACAGTGGGTGTCGCATTCAACGAGGTTGCCGGGACCAGCTTGCTGTCCTCGTTGGATCCGACCTCTCATTGAAGGTGACTAAGGCTAAAGACAAGAAAGGAGACAAGTTATTATAGCCTACACGATGTACAAATACCAGTAATTAAAACAATTGTTCCCCCTGATGACGAAAATCTCAAACAGCATCAGTGTGCTTGTGTTTGGACTGTTCTGACCGTCATTTCTGCATTAACAAAATTTTTTTTTTCGGAACTTTTCTCACATCTAGGTGTAGATCTAGATCTACATAAAGTAAAGGCGGGAGTTTGGATTTTCTGATCAGGGGAAGAAAAGAACATTTTAAAAAATGAAGGTCTCAATCTAGACCTACCCATCCAGAGTTCATCCAGTTTCACACAATCCGCATCCCGTTCCCACCCACCCCTTCCCCTCCCTACCGTAGGCTAACCTTCGCTCACCCTCTTGGCTTTGGAGCACTTTATATTAGTATTAGGAGGCACACTAGATAGCAATACAATGCATTGGGAATGGAGGATGGGCCTTGTGCTTCGCATGAGAATGAGAGAGAAAGGAGAAAAATTCTTCGCTTTTGAGGCCGCTAATAGCTTTTACAGTAGAACATGGCTGTAGCTGGACTTTTGGTTCCAGAAGAAAAATCACGCTGTTGGGGAGTTCCTGCTATAGGAATACAAAGGGGAAATTACCGAAAAAAATCTAAAAATCCACATGGTTGCCTCCCTCCCATATCGATAAAATTTCGCTTTAGATTAGTCTTCCTTTTCTTGTCAACTTGGTTGATTATCTCGACCTTTAATTCGAGTGACAAGCATTTCCTTTCGTCTTTGTTGGAAGCCACCTTTTCCTCGGTCTCGTTGCTTGCGCTGTCTATCGTACCCTTAAGTCTAGGCCTACTGTGTAGAACCGGTGAAGCATCAACGATCGCAACTCAATGAATCAGGATTCTCAAACTACACGCTTTCCTCTTCTTTTACTTTTTCGCTTAGCCTAGGCCTAGGGCTATGGCCTATAAGCTTTCATACTGAGCGTGTAAGCTACGGCACATCACTTTTGGTGTGGCTCACGTATTGCGTCTCTCCGCACCATTTCTCTCTGCCGCCTGCCCCACCTCATTCATCACTGAACTGGCCAAACACAACGCCGCACCGCTGACTGCCTGTTTGGAGCCTGCCTACTGCACCCAAACCTCCCTCCCCCCAGCTAGAGCTCGCTCGATCTCTCCCACTGTATCAAAGTTCGGGACTTTCCTTGCCCCACAAAATCCGAGCACAGGTAATTGAGTTTACGTAGAAAGAAAGATGGGGATTCCGGTAAGGTCCCGCTGTAGCAGGTGCCGCTATAGTCATGTTTTACTGTATACTTGGTTATCACGACCTCGTTGAAAGCGACTTCGATCTGTTTGCAACCTCGTTGGAGCTGGTGTACATTTACAAAGAGATATATAGAGGAAAAATCGCGAATTAAGGATTGCCTCGTTGGAGCCGACTTCTCGATGAATGTGACCTCGTTGAATGCGACATCCACTGTAGGCTACTTGATTTATGATTTTCTCCCCACTTGGGAATCAAACCTGAGTCTTCTGTGTGAGACAGCAAAGTGCCGAATCACTGCACCACAGACACTAGTAGTAGAAATGATATTAACATAAAAACACTTAATTTCTTCAGTGAAGGTACTTACAAGACAATGTAATCGAAAAAATGCATGCCTCAATGGCAAAACAAGTGCTTTTTTTTTTTTATCCCTTGCCCATTTATATGAGATTGACGCCATCTGATTAGTACGGTAGAAAAAAAAGTGTGTATGATAGTGTCCAATAGTGTATTACGTGCATACTTAGTATAAGTAACTGTACTAGAAGATAGAGATTCCAGGATTATAGATGTAAGTCATTGATCTGAGAGCGGTAATGATATTGGATATAATGGTGGTGATGAGAGATGATGTGGGATTGCGTTTAAATTTATATAATGTTAGCGTTAGTCTTATCTTCCTCTGCTCCAATGAGTCACGAGGGACGTGGACACCCTCTATCCCGTTCCCTAATGGAACCATCTTAACAGTCACTGTGAAGTTCTGAAAGTCTCTGCTAAGGTGACATTGTTAGTGTTAGCCTATTCTATCAGACGAAGACAAGTGTCAAGAGGAGCTAAGAGGGACAGATTATGGTCTTTAAAAATGCAGCATTCTACTCCCTGATCATTTGCCCCGGGTATTCTTTTCGAGTCCTATTGAGCTTGCAGAGATTCTGACACAGGATCCCCGAACCCGAGTTGAGAGGGCCAAAACATGTGCTTAAATTTTACATGAACAATCTCTTTTTGCTCCAAGACTGACCGACCCTCTTACCATCTCTGGCTTCTTTCTTTCTTTCATCTCTTGCACAAACCCATGCACAAATAAAGTCAGCCAAGATAAAGGTGGTTATTTCCTGCTCATGCCCATGCAGAAATGATCAATAAACACACACATAAAAAAGATCACGATTGATATCTTTTGCACACTACCATACACAAATCATTCCTAGAACACACCGACACGTAAAATAAACCCACATAAAATAACGCCTACCACCAGCTGTTCAGATTTGTTAGGCCCAAAATTTTGAATTTGGGTAAATTGCAGTTTCTTAATCCTTGGTGGTATTAGTAGTATTAATTTGCTGTGTGTTATCAAGAAATATTGAGTTAAAATTAAATTCAAAATGTTGAAGACAAGAAAAGATAAAACGTTAAAAGAATGAAAAAGTTTTCTCTCTGCCCTGAAAAATCGTGCTTTCCTGGGCTTAAAACATTTGACTTGAACGGCTTGCCTCCAGATGATAAGATTGATTACAACACTGACCTCTTGCTCAGCCCCAGGTGCCGAGGGTAAGATGAGGGACTGGTCATCGTCCAGCTGTGGCAGAATGTAGTGTTGTGTGTCAGCCACCACCGTGGAGAACTGGGCTAGCACAGTGCCTTCCTCCATGCCCTGAGTTCCCGAACTTTGCTCTCGGTCTGCTGAACACGGTACTAGCAGGAACGAAAAGTGGAACACGTCACTTAAAAACAGTGATAATGTTACAAATTACTAGCGGGTAAATATGTTGTTCTTGTTACCCATCCAGCAACAGTAAAGCCAAATGGTAAGTACACCGTTGCCTAGGTTAAGGAACAATCCTTCCACACTGAAAGGTCATTAGAGAAGTGGGACCTCTAAATTAAACATCAATATCTGATAGGGTCAAACCAAATGGGCGGGGAACCTTAAAAACTCGACCAAATCAAACCAAGTTCAGAACATCACAACATCCAGTTGGGGACTCGAATGCTATTTGCTCCGTAGTCCAGTAGGTAGGATACCAACTGGGCTTTCAGTGTGCCTATGTTCAAGTGCGATTTTCTCAAAACAATGGTTTTATGGTAGGCCTAATTTAGTAAAGACAATTTGGTTGTAACGGGCCAATTAATGGTCAGTAGGTGTAAGTGTAAGCAAAACCCAATGTGACCAGTGTGAACAGATGGTAAATATTAAGAGTCTATACAGTGGGTGTCGCATTCAACGAGGTTGCCGGGACCGGCTTATAAGGCTAAAGAAAAGAAAGGAGACAAGTTATTATATTACATGATGTACCAACACCAGTAATTAAAACAGTTGTTCCCCCTGATGACGAAAATCTCAAAAGCATCAGTATGTGCTAGAGTTGGGGCGAGCGGACGGACGGGTTCGTTACTCGCGGACTCAGTCAGAGCGAACGGGTAACGGACGGCCATGAGAGCGAACTGCGAACCTTAAGACAGTTCGTTTTTTGGGTCCGCTTCACAATTTGACTCTCTCAGCGAGCGGACTGTGGATCTCAAGCCTCACGTCAGTTCATTTTTTAGGTCCGCTCCACAATTTTATTCACTGGGCGGGCGAGCGAACGGAGGAACTCTAGCAGACGAGATACTCGACGCGAGATTAGACCCGTCGTCTATTGTTTGTTAATTAGGCCTGATGTTTCAAACCACTAGCGGTGCCATAGGGAGTGAGAGAGGCTGGTGACGTAGTACTATGTGTGTAACCTTTCACCTCGTGCGTGGGGCACACTGTGTACATTCCATTTATCTCAAGGCCGGGGGGTGGGGGGGGGGGGGGGGGGGGGGCGGGAAAATTTCTCGGCCGTGGAACGCCTAGCTACAATGGGGAGGGAAGGGGGGGGGATTTTTTAAATATTATTTTGGGGGGGGGGGGGGGCGGGGTTTTGTAAGTTGTATGCCATGAAAGGAGTCGTTCCCGTCCGTCCGTCCGCCCGCCCGCTCGAATGCATGGAGTCTCTCGGTCCGCCCGTCCGCTCGCTCGCTAAACGAACTGTTGTCTCTGTCCGACGTGTAGTGAGTAGCGAGTACCGAACTACTCTTCACAAACGGACGGTTTGTTACCCGTCCGCTCGTTTGCGGGTAATGCCAGTGGATAGTTCGTTACTCGTGAACGCTAATTTTGCGAGCCCGACCCAACCCTAGTGTGCGCGTGTTTGAGCTGTGTTCTGACAGTCATTTCTGCATTAAAATTTTTTTTTTTTCTGGAACACTTCTCATGTGGAAACATACCCTCCCACATCTAGGCCTAGATCAAAATAAAGTAAAGGCGGGAGCTTGGATTTTCTGATCAGGGGAAGAAAAGAAAATTTTTAAAAAATGAAGGTCTCAATCTGGACCTACCCATCCAGGGTTCATCCAATTTCACACAGCCCCCATTGTGTTCCCACCCTCCCATTCCCATGCCTACCGTAGGCTAACCATGCCCATCCTCTTGGCTTTGGGGCCCATATTAGGAGGCACACACTTACAATACAATGTGTTAGGAATCGAGGATGGGCCTAGTACTTAGCGAGAGACGGAGAGAAAGAAGAAAAATTCTTCGCTTTTGGGGCCGCTAATTGCTTTTATTTGGTTATCGCGACCTCGTTGAAAGCGACTTCGGTCTGTTTGCAACCTCGTTAGAACTGACACACATTTACAAAGAGATATAGAGGAAAAATCGGGGATTAAGAATTGCCTCGATGGAGCCGACTTCTCGTTGAATGGGACCTCATAGAATGCGACACCCACTGTACTATAACGTATTGGTAAGTACAAGTGGCAAACTCCAAAACCCTCTATTTTAGTATCTTATTTATTCATTGCCGCTCTTATTATATAAATTTGTTTTCAAACAATAATTATCTTCTCAAAACACTTCTGATCTATTTTTAGGAATTATGAATAGGCACTTACTCTTAGCCTTGAGATGCCTGGACAGTGTTCCTTGCTCAGCAAACCCACGATTACAACGAGGACACACGTATGGTTTTTCTCCCGTATGTAGACGCTGATGGCGCTGAAGTGAACCACGTTCTCGGAAGTGACGGCCACAAACATGGCAGCGATACGGGTTGATGCCTGAATGAGTGCGCATGTGAACTTTGAGAGAATTCTGTGAACACAGAAACATGGCAACACCCAAGTTGTGAATGACGCTAAACCAAACATTTTGAATATTAAGGTAGGCCCTACCGGTAATTATCTTCAACTAGTTAGCACAAAGGCTTTGATCACATCTGAGAAAGAAGCAAAACAAAAAGTGTTATTTGAAATACAGAACATCATCGTTCAATAAAGAGGTTCAAAATAAACTAAACATTTGGGAAAACACACATGTGTCATCCTGATGAAATCAGGCGCTCGCCGAGTTATTCAAACCAAAGAATCTGACATTTTTTCACCCGTAAGGCACATTTTATCAAATATTTTTATCTTCGGTTCTACACCTATGCCCATATAATATAAAAAACACATTTCTGCATGGATTTTGCTGAAAAAAATGTTGATCAAAGGCACAAATAATATAAATTTGCACAGCTACCAAGCACACTCAAACTTTGGGATTCACCAAGCTTTGGCGGCCGGGGTGTAAAAAGATAATAACAAACACACACAAAAAAAGGAGGGGAGATAAGAACGATAGATGTTTGATAGGAAAGAAGGAGCAAACTACACAAGAGCACCTGCCAACCGCCCACTGAAACCTTATGCGAGCGACAACTTGTAATACATGACAGAACTGACCTGAGACTTGAAGAGCTTGTCACAGACGCTGCATCGGAACGACCGGTCTTGGTAATGGACACGCAGATGCTGCTGTACATGAGCCAGGCGCTTGAACATTTTCCCGCACTCTCCACACTTGAAGTCTCGCTGTTCCGTGTGCACAAACATGTGCTTCTTGAGGATGTCGCGGGATATGAAACTTTGGTGGCAGTCAGAATGGGGACACTGATAGGGCCTGTCACCTGCGTATGACAGGATAAAACAGACAGAAATATAATGTAAAATTAACAGCCCTATGATTGTTTAATAAAAAGATGACACAAAACAAGACAAAACGTGATAATTTGTAAGTAAGAGAAGTAGTTTAGAATATGAAAACAAAACAAAGAAAATTAATTAAATAATCTAAATGATGTACACAAAACAAAATAATATGATAACTGTGATTACTGGACACTTGTCATTTCATAGCAATTTATAAGCAAGTTTTACAAAACAGAACAGAATACAGTTTCTAAGGTTCTCTATCTAACCGTGTAGTATACCTGTGTGCATGCGCATGTGCTGCCTGAGGTAGGTGCTGCCACGGAAACTTTTGTCGCAAACCATACATTTGACACTGCCAGCCGTTGACGGCTCAGGGGCGGTCGTCTCAGTAGGGCTGGCTCGGTTCTTTTTTAGACTGAACAATTGCTTGACAGCTATCAGGGCTTCCCTGGGAGCAGAAAATTCAAGATCACTTCAGAGAAAAATGACCACATCATCCCTCTAAAAGGAATTGACGTGACCCCTGGGCCGGTTTACAACTAATGGGAAACAAAGAATAGTCAACCTTGATGACCTGTCACAATGGCATGAGGCATGCAATTTTCACTCGTCCAACTGTGAGTTTCAAGATCTACTCTGATCCTATTGCTCCTCCCTTTTACCTGTACAAAATTTACAACAGAGATGTGATCAATTTCACTAGAGTGGGTGATCTGTGATGCAGCAGGCAGCACAATGATCGTAAACTTTTACTGCATGGTTGATAAGCTGGGTCCACCTGTGTTTTTGTTCCGTAAATTATGATTTGAAATGCGGGATCTTAAATCGTAGCCAAAAGTAATCCTTCAGAGCAGGATCTTAGGGGTGACTATAGTAAAGTGAAGGTACTGATATCTTAAAATGGCGGGATCTTAAGCGAACAGGGATTGTAAGCAGTGGCATCTTAGGTGGAGACTACTGTATAGATAAATGGATTGTTATTTCCTAATTAAAAATCTTACCTCAAAACAACTTTTTTATTTGAATTCTGTCCCTTGTTTTGAGCAGGGTCCTCTGAAGACAGTACACTGGCCTCAATATTCTAGACACACAAAGGAAGAAGAAAAAGACAGATTTAGAATTTCAACAAGCCCTGCACAACAATTTGTACCTTATACTAAAACTGTGATATCGTAATGAATACTCTTATCATTGTTCTATTATAATAATGGTAAGTAAACCCCTTTCCAGGTTGACGAATGAATTTATTTAAAAGTTCAATTTGAACTAAGCCAAAATCATAAGAACAAGTGGCACATGGTGATATGCAAAACCAACATTTGAAGGTTAATTTCCATCTGTACTTCTCGGAAAATCAGGAGAAGTACATTTTCTTGCCTTTCCTGATCACAATGTCGACAATATCAATCATAGCGGCACCACATACAAGGACCTACCGAAAGGTAACTCACATTTAAAGAATCGTAATGCATAGAAAGGATGTGTTGTCGCAATTCTTCGCGGTCATTAGAGAGAAAATGACAAAGTCCACAGTGTGATGGTTTGTCAGCTAGATGACTTCTCAGGTGGATTTCCAAACCTTCCTCAGCAGCAAAGTCCTTTTTGCACACCTGGAAAAAAATTGGACACACAACTACGGGTAAAAATGAATATTAAAAAAAAAATAATACTTATAACCATTGAAAGGGAACACAAGTTCAAGCCTCAGGCTCAAGATTACTACTGATGCATCCCCAAAAATTTGAAATGCATTCAGAAAGATTCGAGTAAGGCTTTTTTTTTCAGAGAGTTATTTTCCTTACCTGCATCTTCACTTCAAATACTAAAAGAACCAAAGATAGCATATATCTTGACATTTCTCTGAATAGTAATTTCAAAAAGCATAGCACCACATCTCAGAACTTCATAACAGAAAAAAAAGATACATATCATTTAAGAGGCAGCTTCCAACCCAGCCTGTAAGGGCCAACTCAGGCTGACAGGGATACAACATCCCAGCAGAATGACCATAATACCCAATAAAAATTTCTCCCCATTCGAGAATCAAACTCACGTCTCCTGTGTGTGACAGCAAAGCACCTAAACGCAACACCACAGATGCCAGTTCATAGGCCTGTGACTATGATAAGATTCAAACAATGTTACAAAAACTATACAAAACCCAAAGGACAAATAAATTGATACGAAAAAAAAACGAGTATCAAATAAAAATACCAATTCTTTTGATATTACACCCTTATCGTTTTATTTCTATTTTTTCTTTCCTATACACATCAATTTGTAAAACACTTTTAAAAATGCTTTAAAAACACTTTTCTCCTTTGGCAACTCATGAATTTGCAAGACATGCTCATAGCTGATCTGCTGCCATTCTGAGCTACGATATATATGTGAAAACACCGATTCTATCCTCTTTTGATTAAGTTGGTTTCTCATATTTTCTTAAAAAACAACAATAACCTTCCCTCCTCTAGTATCTCAGGTCTGTTCATAAGAATATCCAAGTTAAGACACCCTCATTCTTTACTTTTGTTATTTTGGGTATATATAGGGAGACAGACTTTTTTAGGGAATGACTTTCTTTGGGGTGGATTTTTAAGGGATGAACTTCTGTAGGGATGGACTTTTTAAGGGAATGACACTTTTAGAGGTGGACTTTTTTAGGAATTAAATTTAGTGAGGATGGACTTTTTTAGGGAATTATTTTTTTAAGGAAAGACTTACCGTAGGGATGAATGGATTAACTTTTTTAGGGAATGAAGTTTTTAAGGAATGATGAAGGGATGAAGGGATGAACTTCCTTAGGGATGGACTTTTTTCCGCAGCCTTCTACTGTCACAGAAGTCAGCCACTCACTTGACATTGAGTTGGTTTCAAGACTTCTGCTTGTGCTATACTTTGTAGCTCCAACATTTCACTGTCCTGTCCTGCTCCTGTGCTCACTAGGCTGCCCAAAGGTTTGACCACTGAGTTGACCATCTTTGTCTCTGCCCCCACTTCAACCTGTGCCAGAGAACCAGGTTCTGCTTTGACCGTCCATTCCTGGAAAGACAAAAGACAAGTGCAATCAAATATCCTTTGCATCTTAAGGCAAAAACTGATGTGTCATCACAGCATATATATACTTGATTTATTCTGACATAATAATCTTTTTTTTTTAAATAAAAGGAAGCAGAAAATATGGGACCCCTCATCCCTCCCTCCCCCTCCCCCCCTCCATTCTGACAGAAACAAGAACTTTAGAAGAAACTGTGGCATTGAAGTATGGACCGCAATGCTTTTCTCGGCGGACAGAACCTTATTTTTCTGAGTAGAAAACTCACTCCTCTGCATGGGGTGGTGCAAGTCTCCTCGTCAAACCAACGGAGCTCAGGTGCACAGGTCCTGTACAATGGGGGAGCCACAGCTGAGAGGGTTAATATATCTTAATAGACACTGAGGGAGCCACAAGTCAAAGGGTTAATATATCTTAGTAGTCCAATCTACCCTAATGACCACCTATCTAACAGACTACCACTTGTACGAATTCCCATGCCCCACTCACCCCTTCCATTTTTTCTACATTATAATGATATTGTCCAGGTCAACAACCTGTCTTAGATGACCACTTTTCTCTTCCACAATCGATGGTTGTTTGTATTTTTATATAGACCAAAATAATAGAGCCAAATTCATCATGAAGAGAAACCCTAACACTGATAATTAATAACTTAACACATTGCACCCTAACCACCCCGGATTGCCCGCAAATTTCCTTACGCACTCCACCCTAACTGGCCGGAATCGCTCGCACCAACCTAGCGTCTTTCTTTAGAAACGAAGTCTCGCCTTGATGAGTATGAGACTCTGGGGCCGAGATTTTTATTTACATAGTTATTTTAAATTGTTTTTTCTTCCGTTTGATACCGAAACGAAACTTTTCGGGCCAGTAGTTTTAGTATTAGAGCCTTCCTACACTTCAAAGGTGTCTCGATTTGCTTAAAAGCACCACAACTGAGTTTGCAAAAGGACATAACGATGGATTTGAGCAAAAACAAGCATATTATGACAAATCAGATGAGAATCAGATATTGATGAAAACGTTGTAGCAAGAGTTTGGGGCGAATCAGATTGATCAGCTGTAGAATTTAGATCTTGGGCCCGACTGCCAGGCTGAGAGTGAGAGTGATGGGTCGGACACTCCGATCGAACTAAAGTTAGAACATTTCCAACAGTTTGCGCATACATAAAGTTATATTTTTCTGAAACTACATTCATTTTCCTTTCTAACTTATATTTTTCAGGATTTTTGGAATTTGTTTAGTATTTTTTTAATGTGTTTTTTAAACGCTTGTATTCACGGGAGGTGGATTCCTTCCCCTTGCTTAGGATCTAGGAATGGACTTCCCATCCAGACCTTTAGGGTGTAATGTGTTATTTGTTAAGAAAAATTGCGAATAACTGTTGGCCTGAAGCTCATACTTCCACTGAGGGTGCACCAGCAGCTGAAGAGTCCAGTTTGACAGTCACTCCTGTGAGGGTGTCCTCCCCTTCCACAATCTCCTCAGCCCCATGGCTCAGGATGAAGTGCAGATCAGTTACGGGCAGTTCGGGTTTGTTTGGTACAGGCAAAGTGCTGGGACCACGGTGGGCGTCCCGCTGGGACGGGTCTATCACGGCTGGGATATTGGGGTGATAATTCCAACTTTTCCTGTACCTTGGAAACTGGGAGTCCGGTGCCTCTGAGCAGTTTCGTCTAAAGGTAAAGAGCAACAAGAAAAGTGTAGCAGTCTGCAAAATTTGTTGTCATAAATTGAGGATATTATCTACAACACAGTTAACATTTTATCAACTTCACAGGCGTTCTCAAGCTTTTATCCACTCCAGTCCCCAACGATTACTATCCTAACTCTACACACTTACTTCCCCTCACTCTACCCCTAACCCATATAAAATTACAATAATTATTTCAGTACTCTATGGGAATAAGCCAGAGATTGCCACAGATTTTTCGAGATAGCTGCTAAATTATAGTCAATAATTTATTTATGTAATGGTGGCGGTATACTGTTGGCAAGAAGGGAGATAAAACTAAACTGAACCACCAAATTGGGAAAGTGAAACTAACTCTTCAATTCTGGAGATCAATAACCATTGTGAGATAAGAAAGCCAAATAACTTATATAAGGTACTGTAAGGTTTTGGCCAACAAGCACTCCATTTAAGAGACTGCACTACAAAGTGAGAGGGAAAAGAAAGGAATGACTTCAGCAATTTTTTTTCACTGGTAAAAAGAAGAAAAAGTAAATAAATCTAACAGTGAAGTCACCACAGGTGAGCGAATATAAAACTCCTCTCTTTCTTATGAAGAATGGAGATGTAAAAATTCCAACCTGGCTTTCATGTGGCGTGTTAGAGCTCCAGATTCAGCAAAAGCTCGCCCACAGCGCTCACACTCATAAGGTCTCTCTCCTGCAAGACCATAAAGCATTCAATACGTAGAGACAGAATTCATAAACAGCGCTTTTACTTTGTTATGAAATACGGTGGACGTCTTCACAAAGAACAATCAATTAAAAATTTAATTTAAAAATTACAGTGGACTCGGATTCAACGAGAGGAGATGGATTCCCCAGGGTTTTTTTCTTCTTTAAAATCAATAAAAATAACCCGGATTCAACGAACACTTAAAATCAGCAAGCTTGGATTCAACGAGGTCGCTTCCAGGGTGAACAGCCCCGCAGATGTGGCTTTGCTCATTTTTTCTCCCATAACGAACTTTATTAATTCCCGGAAACCATCCATTGCACCTGCATCGTGAACCATTATTCACTTGCATGCGACCAATCAGCCGCCTTCTTTCATGATATTCATACAAAAACAATACGCAGTGTTGGCACGCGCACGTGTCTACTCTAGCATGTGTCGGGGTCGGACTGTGTGTGCGTGTCGGGGAGGGGGTACCAGCGGTCCAGGCGTGGAACGTTGCAGATGTAAATGCATCAGTCTTTTTTTTTCCCTCGGCAACTGATCATTATTACAATGATAAGCTTGTCTTGACGTAGGTCTATGTAATAAATTGTGCGCTGGTCTATGGAATCAAAAGTTGCAGTATGCTGGGCTCTACACAGCAACACAACATTTGGGCAAAAAAATGAAATGACACAGGCATGCATTTGATTATACTTTGAACAAATCAGTCTTTTTTTCTTCTTTTTTTTGCACAGCTCATAATATGCAAGCATTTCAGGCACCACTTGTTACTTCTCTTTATACATTACTTGCTCAGTGCCTGTAATTATCTACACGAAAACCTCATGTTTGCTATAATGAACACTCGGATTCAAAGAGATTTTAGGTCAGGCCCGGCGACCTCGTAGAATCCAAATTCCACTGTACTCCTTCTGACTTACGAAGCTCATGTCAACACTCACATTAATGCTTCTGTCAGACATCAATTAACTGAGCAACTTTTAGGCTTTTTATAGTATTGTTTTCCTCATAATAGCTAAAAGTGAATCTCATCTCCATCAATGTTACCAGCATCTCTGGTGTAGCAGTTAGGCGCTTTGCTATTACAAGCAAGAGATCCCAGTTCAATTCCAGAGGGGGGTGACAATTTTTATCGAGAATCTCGGTATGTATTCCTCTCAGCCCAGGTTGGCCCTGACAAGCAGGGTCAGAAGCCGGTCTCCTGAATGATCTAAATTGTGTCAATGGGGGCATAAGATCACCTAGTACCACCAATTCTATTTATGGTTACAAAATATTCTGAGCAACAGGGTGAATAATTTTAATCAACAGAACACTGAAGACCAGGAATAGTTAGCTGAGAACCTTGCTATATCTGAGAGCCAATCCTCAAATTCCCTTTAGGAATTTTACGTTGGAGCCCCAAAGACAACTTCTTGCTTGAGAATCAGGACCTTGGTTCAGCAGAGGAGAAAACAGAGACTCTGAAGTTTCCTTGTGACAGTAGCTGTGGTGCCCAGAGAGAATATGGAAGTATACAGCCTAGACAAGAAGTTCTTCAAGTAGGTTTGTCGCAGCTATTCTACTGCAATATCACTTTCATCAAACGGAGAGTAACTAACATTTTTACAATAAAATTTGTTGAAAGTTTGGGGGCGGGGTTGTAGTCATTATCCAGTTTCTTATTCACCAAAACACACCATTTTAAACATATAAGCATTATTTAAGAAAAGTAAAATTACACCACCTAGGTGTACAGTTTCTGTTCCAACAAATTTCATCCTGATGAACAAAGAGGAAATATTCAGTCTGAAGGAGCACAACATTTTTGAAGATCTATCAATATCCCACAGTCAATAGTCTTTGAGCCACAAGAAATTTGAAATTAAAATTAACAAAGCTTTAACCAATTTTCATTACAGTGCGTGTCGCATTCAACGAGGTTGCCGGGACCGGCTTGTTGTCCTCGTTGGATCCGACCTCTCGTTGAACGTGACTAAGGCTAAACAAAAGAAAGGAGACAAGTTATTATATTACTCGATGTACCAATACTATTAATTAGAACAGTTGTCCCCCATGATGACAAAGTTCTCAAACAACATCAGTCACGGCTGTTAAAATGCCACTGAAAGTGGTACTTTAGTTGATGGCCGAGCCCCAGTCTGACCTCCCGCACGAAGGTAATAAATCAGTGTCAGTCGGCCACTCCCGTGCTTAACAACCGTGATGATAGCGATGCCCGCCGCTGTGCCTGCGTAACTCGGTTCTGGTAATTTTCGTATCACTTTCCCTCGTTATTTCTCCCGATCTGATAAACCTAGAAGCCTGTTTATCATCTCATTTTAAAGATCATCTTAAGACTAACAAGACGATCCCACTTTCGCTCCGGAAATCTGACTGGTGTTATAGCAGTTACGCATTTTGCAGTACTAGTGTTTTGTTCATCTAATGTTGCATTTTAAATTATATTCCATTTTGGAGTTTATTATCTCAAAAGCCAAACTCAGATTTTCCACTCAGATTCTCTGCTTCACTTGAGACAGCAATACTTGAACCGTGTGAGCAAATGTTATTTGTGG